TTGAGGGTTTGGGAGTTGAGGAGGGAAGTGGGGCAGGGGTAGCAGAAATTGAGCAGGGTGGTTAAAACCATCAGTTTGGGGCAGTGGTTCTCAACCTTCTGGCCTTTTAAATACAGTTCCTCATGTTGTGACCCAACCATAAAATTATTTTCGTTGCTACTTCATAACTGTAATGTTGCTGCTGTTATGAATTGTAATGCAAATATCTGATATGCAGGATGGTCTTAGGCGACCCCTGTGAAAGAGTCGTTCGACTGTTAAAAGGGTATGCCACTCACAGGTTTAGAACCGCTGGTTTGGGGCTTAAGCATTCCTACACTGGAGTTTCAGCACCACCATTTCAGGCACAGTTTTAACCACTGACACAAAGACAAAACAAGACCTCGTACCTTGTAGACACAGAATTAAAAATATGTAAGTATGCCCTACACTTATAAGTGTTCAATTAGAAGCTAGCATAAAACTTCAGGTTACTTGGACCAGATTGGACACAACCTTCCACCTTCATTTCCTCCTCCATTCTGTTGTCTCACTAGTACTGTACTAATTGCTGTCCAGCAGCTGGCTTCAGAGACAACCTTCACAATAACAGGCTGTAAAAACCGACTACAGGGAGTTAAATCATTTTCAGGGATCTGTTCTGTCACAAAACCCGTGTAAACAACTCTCAATCGCGTTCCCTACAGAAACAATGAGCTGGAACAGATTCAAAAAAACATGGATAGAACACATGTCACCAACTTGACCCGGTGCCCTATGAGACAGCATAGTCCAGCTGGTTGTAGGACCACAGAACAAGGCAGCCCACTGGTGGGTACCAGGGTTGATTTTCTGACATGCAGCTGATTTTCTAGAATCTCATTGACTGAGGAAACACATCCTCAATATCAATCAATCAGGGGCCATGACAGCTCCAAGATGATAAAGACAAATAAGCAAACACCGCATGTAATTTTAGGCTGCATTTACATAAGCATCCCTCCTTCTCTACACTAGAGTTTGGTCCCTAGGGACCCCTATGAGTATTAGTCACCGACTTCCCACCCTGTAAAGGCAATAGGAGGCTGGAGCAAGGGAGACTGGAGACATTACTTACAAGGATGTTTGCATCATCAAGAATGATGGAGAAATTAGGATAGAAAACAGGATCCAGGTGGAAAAGTCTCAGTGATTGGACAGGATGAGGAGAGTGGATGATGGGATTCCTAGATAATGTCATAGATGACTGGTATGAGGTTCAAAGGAACAGAGGTTTTATTGTTGTTGCTCAATTAAACCTAATATTGTTTTCCTCCAAGATTCTATATCCAAATAATTTTAAAAATATGTGATTGAGAAATAGTTTGATAACTTGTCTTGTTCTAGAAATCTAATGTACAGCAATGGTGGTGTCCATTAATAATACTGTTTTGTATTCTTGGAATCTGCTGATACGATAGCCCTTAAATCTTCTTAACACACACACACAATCACAACTGTGTAGAGATAATGGATATGTTAACTAGCTTGATTGCGGTGATCATTACATAATGTGTATGGATATCAAAACATCAAGGCTACATTTCAAATATGCACAATTTTTATGTCAACAATATCTCGATAAAACTGTTAAAAAATAAGTCTGGCCTATAGGAAAATGACTTTCAGAGAAACATCAAACAATGAATCTGAAAAGATGGGCTGGCCACTGGAGGGCTTTCTGTGAAGTGCATGGTCACAAATACATACCTGTGGCCAAGATTAAAAGGGGGGAAGTCGGAAATGACAACAGCATCAGTTAGGCTCTCCTGCTCTAAAGAGGAGTGGAGCCTGCTCCTGAAACTAAGGGCATTTGACTTGAGGGAAATTACTCTCCAAATGTTTGTGCACGTATCTGTAAGAAATGAGTAACATTTCTATAGCAAGGCCTTCACATTCTATACTATCAGGTAAAATGTACTTTTCTAAGTGCATCCATTTAGCATTAGAGAGTCAAAGGGTCCAGCAAGGGACACACCAATGCTTCTTCCTAACGCTCAAGCATGGGGCTACTGCCTGTCATTATGACAAGTTCCATGGAAGTTACTACCCTACCCTGGCCCAAATGTGGACAAAAGTAAACAACAGGAAAAAGACTTGCATTACTATGTAAGAGCACGGCATCTCTCTTTTGACTTTTTTAAATGAACAAGAAAGCATCCTTGTGATTTCTACCTGGTAAACCTGGTGGTTGTAACTATTAACTTGTGCAGCAAAGACTTGTGAAACAAACTAAGTTGGGCTTTGTGAGGAGAATAAATGCTTGCCATTACTTTGTACTCTGTGATTAGTTCCTCCAAACCCATGGAGTTCCCCTGAGGTGTCTTAGGTGTCTTAGGAGCTGGTCCAGGCACATTCCATAGGACAAATACATATTACATCTGCATTACCCAGATCCTTTCCAGACATGAAGAAGGGATGCCCCGTTCCTTGATTTCTACTGAGAGTTACCATGTTTGCTTTTATTTTTAAACTTGGTAGATGGTATCAATTGATTAGTTGAACCAATGGGCTGCAATTATCAATTTTAAATGACAATAGCATTTCAGGAAAAGTAACTGATTGTGCTAGAACTAGTCTTGCACATAATTGGAAAGTGTACATTTAGAGAGTGTAAATTCAGCCCTTTCTTCATTTTCTTTCTTGTTTTCTCTTCTCAACTCTGAAGTCCCAAGTCCTGAGACTCCTAACAGTCTTCCAGCATAACGCTGGAACTAGCAACGTTTTCCTTCACCTCTTCTCTCTTCCAAACTCTCACAGCATTTGTGCCTGTTTTTTGCTCACTGTTTTAGAGAAAACCTTCCTGATGCGGGAAATGCTTATTTTGCAACAGAAAAGGCTTTCCAACTAAAGGCTGGATTGTGGGATAAGGGGATGGAAGGGGAGGGGACATTTGTGAGATTGTACCTTTAAATCCGTGTTTCTCAAACAGCAGCAGGCATCAGGATCACCTGAAGGACTGGTTCACAACACAGATTTCTGGGCTCCTCCCCAGAGTTGCTGATCCAGTAGATCTGAGTTGGGGCCTGAGAGTCTGTTTGTTACAAGCTCACAGGTCATGCTGATGGGGCTGCTGGCCCAGGGCGCACACCTGAGAACCAATACTTTAAGCCAAACAACGAAAGTGATTGCCTGGTTTGTCTTGGCATCCAAATGCCAGTGTGAGCAACACAGGCACATTCTACCCAAACCTCTTGCTCCAAATTTGGGGTAGAGGTATTCTGCATTCATTGTGAGAGTCACAAGCTGCTATTGGGAGAAAAGTATATGATTTAGAAGAAGAATTGTATTTGTATTTGTATTTGTTTTCAGTTTTGCCACTCTCTGGAAATTTCTTTAAAGTCTACGGGCCTCACTTTTGTATTATAAAAAGTAGAATAATAAATCCTTGCTGGGGTTGAAATCACATGTGAAGATGCCTGGTAAACGATCAAGTGCTCTATAAACGGTATAATTGTTCTACAGTAGGTAGTTTCTCCACGGTAGCTATTGAAAAGGAAATTATGGAAGACCAAATTCTGTTTTCAGAAAATTGAGCTACCTGTTTTCCCTGGGCCACCGACAAAACTAGTTTCCTAAAACTCTCCTGTCACAGGTAAAAAAAAGAAATACTGTACTAAGCTTTGACATAAAGCTTTTTTATGCCCTGGAGAACAACACACAGTGCAGATCTGTGGCATCCTACATATTCCAACAGCAATCCTAGTCCCTGTTGTGGAAAACCCATAAGAATAACAATGTGTGGGGTTTTTCTTAGCACCACTACGTTCAGAAAGCATCAGAATAGAGCCGCATGGGCATGATTCATTGACTATATCCCATTCCATTGTTTACCCTTCACCTTTCACATGACAGCTCATAATGAGAGAAAAACCTATCTCCTGTGATTACAACACACAGCGCAATGCATCCATTTGTTAGACCCAAATCTCATTGTTAAAACCTCAATACCTGCAGCTCCAGGGAATGTGCCACTCCCAAAGGACAGCACCTCAGATCCAGAAACAGCTGGGAGGAACCAGTGTAGTGTCCCCCTAACATTCTCACATCCTGTAGGTGTGACTCTGCAGGGGACCATTCTAACCCCTTGGAGGCATCCCTTGCTGGCAGCAGCCCTTGCAGAAGGCGCAGGAGCTGCACAGCACAGGCTGGCCTTTTCTCAGCTCCTGGGTCCCTAACACTCAGGGCTTCCCTCTCCCTACAGAACAGCGAGTGAACACGCAGGCGCTGAATAAAGGGACGCAATTCCATAGGGGCCCGTCAACAACGGAGGTGATGTCATGGTCCCACCACATTCCTGTTGACACCAATGAGGTTATACAATTCAGCTTGCATAGGGGAAGCTCAGAAACGAAGGAAGGAAGGGAGGGAGAGCTGCGTGTAGAGTCCCTACAGGTCACTGCATGTGCGCTTCCCACAGCGCCGCAGCCCGCCCCCTGGGTTCCCACGCGGCAGCTCGCTCAGGCTCATCTCTCATCCGGTGGGCAACCCAAAGCGTCTGGGGCCAAGAGCGGGTGTCCAAGACAGCGGTCCCCGGAGACAGCTCCATGGGGCCAGCAGAATTGCAGGGGCGTCTGGCTTTTAGAAGAACCAGCTGCGTCTGTTTATTGGACAGTTGCATGTCCTCTCCTAATAGGTGCAGCCCCGCTGCGTCCTTCGGTATTCCCACACTCCAGCCAGGTAGGGGCGGGGAGAAGTGTACAATGAGAGACAGAGCTACCGGGAGAAATGAACTATAAACCATTTATTAGTTAACGAAAAAACGCATAAACAAGATCCCACTTCGAGGTGGAAGTGGGATGAAAACCTTTGATGGCTGGTCATCTGCACGGACGCGCATCTCGCCTTCTGTGCGAGGGAGGAGAGCTGGGTCTGTCTGTCCATGGGCAGCAGCCCTGGGAGTGAGAGGAGAATCCGAAAGGAACTTGCAAACAGGCGCCCGGCGGGCGGGCGGGCGGGCGGGCGGCGGCCTGGGAGGCGGGTCAGTAGAAGCAGACGGTGTGCAGGAAGGGCTGGCCGCTGTGCTCCTCGAACTCCAGGAGCAGCTCGGCGAGGTCGCTGTCCACGTTGTCCAGGAGGCGGACGCACTGGCACAGCTCGCAGAGGAGGACGGCGCCCAGGTGGGCCTCGCGGTAGTTGTCCTGGATGTCCACGTTTACCACGTGCACCAGCTGCAGGGTCTCCTGCTCCCGCGCGGTCAGCTCCCGCACCACCTGGTCGTACACCCGCTCCTCGCAGGTGAGGATCAGGTCGAAGGGCTCCTGGCAGCTGGCGAACTGCTCGGGCCGCAGCTTGACGGCGCTGTTCCTCTGCAGCATGCGCAGCACCCCGTTCCGGGCGTACAGCTCCGGGTCTTTCCGGCGGAGGTCCCGGTAGATGGCGTCGTAGGTGGTGCTGTAATCGTACACGTTGGGCTTGTCCGGCGCCGGTCCCGGGAGCTTCACGTGGGACCCCGTTCCGAAGGACCGGACCGCGAACCCCTTTTGGCTGAGGAGGTAGTGGGCCTCCATGCTGCGGTTCTGGTTGCTGGAACAGACCACCGCCACCCGAGGCTGCACCGATGCCATGGACGTTGGTCGTTGGTCGTTGGTCGCACTGGCCCCGCCCAGCAGAGACGCTCTCAGGCCCGCAAGCCTTACGCTCCCCTAGGGCGTAAGGTGACGTAACGTGAAGCCGTTGGAGGGACGTAAGGCTTGGGGTCATGTGCAGTGTCCCGTGCACAGTGTGGGGCCGTGTGCAGTGTCCCGTGCACAGTGTGGGGCTGTGTGCAGTGTCCTGTGCACAGTGGGGGGCCGGTGCACAGTGTCCTGTGGACAGTGTGGGGCCGTGTGCAGTGTCCCGTGCACAGTGTGGGGCCGTGTGCAGTGTCCTGTGGACAGTGGGGGGGCCGGGTGCACAGTGGCTTGTGGGCAGTGTGGGTCTGTGTGCAGTGTCCTGTGCACAGTGGGGGGCCCGGTGCACAGTGTCCTGTGCACAGTGTGGGGCCCGGTGCACAGTATCCGGAGGCCTCTTTTCACTGGCCCAGATCCCCAGCCATGGAATGAGAGAGGCCTACCCGCTTGGGCATCAGGCCCGTGCATGCGTGTTGCTGCTCTGGGTGTAAGGCCGAGGTTCGCCATCGCTGGCCTAGGCCAATATCTTCACAGGGGACTGCCCACTGGCACCATGGCTTTTCTTTATTGATTTTTTCTTCTACCTCCTGAAGTTCTCATGTATTTTAAAGTTTTCTTTACTCCTGTCACTACCACCCCGCTCTCTGGTTGCAAATTCATTTGAGATGACAAGCCATTAAAAAGATGTGGGAGGAATCCAAGAGTAAGAGACGTGAGGTCTTTATACCTTGAGTTCACGCATTAAGTTGATCATAGAAAAACAAAATGGAATAAGCATCACTAAGGGGGTCACTTAAAACAGAGTTGGGAGGCCACTGAGGAAGTGAGACCCACGCACATTTCCTCTTAGATCTTGAATTAATGTTAAGTTAGTGTTAAGCTGACCTGTTCCTAAAGTCAGCGCAAGGCCAACACCAAACATCCTGGATCAAGGATTGCTGCATGGATATACATGGACCTTACTTCCTTCTCATTATGGTGACCAGACCATCTGCAGTCTTCACCCAGTTTCAAAAACCAGCATCCTCCATGTACAGGATGGATCTAACCAATCCCTGCTGACCTAGCCCAAGTCCTTCATTTACCTGGAGGACCAAAATGAGAACAGCCCTTTTGGTTTGGGCCTGTATAAACCCTGTCTTTCTTTGTTCCCTCTGGAGCACATTTTACCTCTTTACCTGAATCTGTGTCCTAGATTGCAATCTCTCCTTTGCCCAAATAAACACTTTTTATTCTTTACCAGTGGCCAGGTGCATGGACTTGTGCACATTGAATGGAAATTAATTAGAAGAAATACTTTAATATCACTATTCACCCTTTCTCTATAATAGAAGTGTCAACCAATTTCACGATCAACAATGACAGATTGAAACACACATGTGCGATTGGCGCCAGCAAGAGCTTTATATGTATCATGCATGTGCAAGCCAACGTTTATTTTTAAATTGCCAGTGTGTATCATATGAACTGGCTGGTCAGTCAGACAGTCAGTCAGACAGACGGTCGGTCACTTAGCCTCTTATATATAGACTAGAGGCCTGGTGCACAAAAATTTGTGCACTCGGGCGGGGGGGGGGGGGTCCCTCAGCCCGGCCTGTGCCCTCTCACAGTCTGGGACCCCTCGGGGGATGACCATCTGCTGGCTGCAGCCTGCTCCCCAGGGGATTGGGCCTAAGCTGGCAATCAGACATCCCTCTGGCACCCGGGAGCCCTCAGGGGATGTCCACTTGCCAGTGGGGAGCAGGCCTAAGCTGCAGTCGGACATCCTTAGCGCTGCTGAGAAGGCAGGAGAGGCTCCCACCACCACCGCTGTACAGGCAGCCATCAGCCTGGCTTGTGGCTGAGCAGAGGTTCTCCATGTGGGAGCTCACTGACCACCTGAGGGCAGCTCCTGCATTCAGTGTCTGCCCCCTGGTGGTCAGTGTGTGTCATAGTGACCAGTCATTCCCAGTCTTTCTGCTGTTAGGGTCAGTTTGCATATTACCCTTTTACTATATAGGATAGAGGCCTGGTGCACGGTGGGGGCTGGCTGGTTTGCCCTGAATGGTGTCCCAGATCAGGGTGGGGGTCCCACTTGGGTGCCTGGCCAGCCTGGATGAGGGGCTGAGGGCTGTTTTCAGACTGCCCACACCCCTTTCAGGGTGGGGGTCCTCACTGGGGTGCCTGGTCAGCCTGGATGAGGGGCTGAGGGCTGTTTTCATGCTGGCCAAGCCTGCAACTGAAGCTCCCAGTCTCTCCTTTTTTTCTTTTTCTTTTTTTTATTCTGGGATTTATTTACCTTCTGTAATTGAAACTTTGTTGCAGCTCCAGCTACAATGCCGGCTGTCTGAAAGCAGGTATCTGGGGTTTGTTTAGCTTCTATAATTGAACCATAGTTGCATTTTGGAGCTGTTGCTTTCAGGCTCAGAGCCAGGCACAGCAGGCAGGGAACCTTGGCTTCCTCCATTGCCGGGGCAACCAAGCCTCATGTTCTCTTCAGCTGCGTGGCTGCTGACCGCCATCTTGGTTGGCAGTTAATTTGCATATCACCCTGATTAGCCAATGGGAAGCATAGTGGAGGTATGGTTAATTACCATGTTTGTCTATTATTAGATAGAATTGCAACCTAAATCTTGTTATTACTATTTTTTATTAGTTTGTGTGCATCTACTGTGTAAAGGCCACTCTTCTAGGTGCTGGGCATGCATCACTAAACAAAAGACAAAAAAAACCACAATGCAGTCCCTCTCCCAGCAAAAACAAACAAAAAACTGTCTTCTCTCAGAGTTTATAGCCTAATCTACACTAATAAAAGAGCAACATGGAAATTAACTGTCCTTCCACGATGCCCACAAGCCACACCCACCAGCCAATGAGGAGTGAGTATGCAAATTAACCCAACAGAGATGGAAGGTTAATTTGCATACACAAGCACTGTGCAGCCGGGGGCAGGGCAGGTACTTCCTTCACATCGCCATGGCGACAGTGGGGAAGTTCAGGCCCCGCAGCTACTTGCATGCGCACAGGTGCCAGGGATCCAGGGGCGGGGCGGGGCGACATACACGGACACCAGGGAGCCGGGGTCAGGGCGGGAGCTTCCTGCCCCGCAGCCACTTGTGCACACGCAGGCGCCAGGGAGCCGGGGGCGGGGCCTGGAGCTTCCCCCGCGTTGCCCCACTGGAGTGCAAAGGTTCTTGCTCATGGCTGCTTGCGCGTGTGCTGGCACCAAAAGCCCTGTGGCAATGGGGCCAGGCATCCTGGGGAGCCAGGCCACTCTGAGCCTGTAGGCCCATGCCTAGGCCCGGAGCGCCCGGGGTCCCGGAATGTGACAGAGGGTGCATGTCAGGCTGAGGGTCTTTCCGGCGGAGGTGCACGAATTTTGTGCACCGGTCCCCTAGTGTATTTATAATTTGGAATTAAACCCAATTTCAAATCCTTCTTTTACTCCAAAGTATAAGAGTGAAATGTGTTTATTTTCAAGAGGAATAAATTCTAATTGAACCAGTATTTCTCCTAGTGTCTTCCAAGGATCACCTTCATCAGAATCCCTTGACATGTTAATCAAAACAAACACTAATGGGCTCCAGAGAAGGCCTACTCAATTAAGTTCTATGAGGGTGGGTGCAGGAACCTTAACATTCTTAGCATGAATATTTCCCAACCTTGAGAAGATCTGTCAAACTGAAGGGATTAGGCTCAAATAGTGAAGAATCAGGTTATTTTGTGCAAAAGAAAGTTTGAGATCTGCTGCCCAACCAAAGGGATAAACTTAAATGGTGGAGTTTCAGACACTACCTGTAGCCCTGTTTCCTAAACTTCCCAGTAAGATTCCTCAGGAGCATTTGCTAATATTGGAGATTCTTAGGTCCATTTCACACAGATTCTGATCCAATGGGTATAGGCTGGGGTCACAGGTATTGATTAGTAGCACAATTTAGGAAATACAGAGTTTTAGGATAACATTGCAAATCAGAGACATCAGATTCCACACTCAGGGAAAACTACCCAGGAGTGATATATTAGTCAGTTTATTTTTACCCAATTTAGTGAATTTTTTTTCTAACTTGGATTTGCCTTTTTGCTGCTCCATTTTCTTTCTCTGCTGGATTCGTCTTTAAAGCTCAGCTGTGGAGCCCTGAGCATGAAGGAACAAGCTTTCATCACAAGACTCTTAAATATTTATACTTATTACCCTGGCTAATTCCCCACTAAATCATTAGATCTTCAAGGGGAGAGACTAATCTTGTCAACTCAGTACCCACCTAGGGTCTTCCCCAGCAGGTTTATAATACATATTTACTCAGTACTTGTCTGTTTAATAGTATTCTGAAGTATTGGAATATGTTTGGATCTAATTTAAACCACATTTTGCAATCCTCCTCTATTCTTGCAGTCAATTTTTCTTCCTTCAGTAAATGAGGAAGCATGTGGAAGTTTCTTTGCAGAACACACTGTAACAACTATTGATTATCCTGAATATCTCTGTTCTCTCCACTCCAAGGACAATAGCAGAATACAGCAATGTGGGCTGATTAATGGAGATCAGAGCTGCACTTGAAAAGATTGCACTGATTTTTTTTTTTTTTATTGCTGGCTTCAAGCTGGGTAACTTCACCACTGCTGCATCATTTTAATATTAAATAAAAGTGCACTATTTAAAGTAAATGTATTTATTTAGAAATTTTTAACATTTGAATAAAATCAAATAACCATCTTTTTCATTTTTATCAGTTTGGACATGGAGGTTTAAAATTTAAAAACAATTTGTGGGAAAGGTTTAGGATTAAAATGTTAAAATTTTAAAAGGAAACACAAAGAAATGTGGTTTGAAGATATCCTTTTTGAAAATCTCTCTGTATGTCTTTTCTGAGCAGAAAACCATGGCTGAACATAGTGAGCCAATAGGCAGCTCAGATAAGATAGGAGCAAAGACAGTTTGGAAAATGAGGAAAGTGGAAAGAGAACAAGCTTTTAGA